TGTGTGAGAGCATACACACACACACATACATACACACACACACACACACTCACTTACTGACACACACACATACTGATTACTACATATTTCATAGCATCACACAAACAATTGGGAAATCTAAATTACATCTGCAGAATTCCTTCCCCTTTGCACATAAGGTAACCTAATGATGGGAGTGATACTCCATGTATTCATCTATCCCGTGAGCGGATGAGAGGGTGTGGACCCTTCAGAGCTCTTGGATTCTGCCTACCAGCAACACTTAAGAAAACATCCTGATGAATATTAATTCTAGAAAACTTAGGATCCACCTAAAGCTTCACATTAACTTATTATTCTCAAAGAAAAACTTTTCAAAGTCTCACTACTCAGATAAACCAGCAGCATGAATAGCACTTGTGAGAAATACAGACCGTCAGACCTGGGTAACAGGGACCCTCTGCATGTCAATAAGACCCCGGGTGATGTGAGAAGCATCACTCACAGGTAGCCACTAGACACACAACCTCTTCTTATCCCCACTTTGGTGGGAGGTAGGATGGAGGGCAGAGAGGACACTGGCACCCCACTGCAGAGACATAGCACTGAGGGGGACTGGATGGTCAGGTCACCCAACTGCCTCAGTTTACAGAAGGGGCAACTTGGAGAGAAGACCCCACACATTGGAAGCAGAACTGGTAGTAGCAGGGTAGAGGAAGCCTGGTGGGCTGGGGCTCTGAGTAAAGGAAAGGTCTTCAAAGAGGGATACAATTTAAGAGTGAGAAGAGCAGTCATATAGTACCTACTTTGTATAAAGCTCTTTTCTAAGTGTTATTTGGATTCAGTGACTCTCCCCACCATTATCGTCAAGATAATTGCACTAAAAACTGGAACAGGTCAAGGCTGCCTACTTTCCTCACCTCTTTTAACACAGTTCTGGAAGTCTTAGCCAATGCAATCAGGAGAGCAAAATAAAAGGCATTCAAATAGCAAAAGAATAAGCTAAACTGTCTCTATTTGTAGACTATATGATTATATACTTAGAAAACCCAAAGAAATCCAAGGAAAATAAACTTCCTAGAAGTAATCAATTAATTTTGTAAAGTATCAGGATACAAAATCAATATGCAAAAATCGATAGCACTTTTATACACCAATAATGAAAGGACTGAGACAGGATTGAAGAAAACGATTCTTCACACACACACACACACACACACACACACACACGCAAACTAGGAATAAGTCAAGGGAAACTATGAAACACTGAAAAAAGAAATGGAGTATAAGAAAAAGAAATGAAAAGCTACCCCATGTTCTTGGATTGGAAGAATCAATATAACCAAAATGTCAGTACTATTCTAATTAATTTACATATTCAGTGCAATTCCCTTCAAATTACTAGGAACATTCTTCACAGAAATAGAAAAAAAAAAAACAGTCATACAATTTGTCTGGAATCATAAAAGACACTGTATCACTGGGACCAGCAGTTAGAGTAATGGCCATGTGGCTGAACTTCCATTTAGCCGACCACGGTTCAAGTCCCGGACCCAATGGCTTAAACTCATGCTAGGCGTGTGTGCGTGCGTGCCCAAGATCCTGAGAGGAGAATGGAGGAGAAGGGATTGTGGCGTGGCCATCCCCCTGGGGGTGATTTCTTGCTTTCTGTCTCCCTCTCTCTCTCTGTCTTTCTGGTGAGCGCACACGCCCTATAGCAAAAACCTCTCCCAACAAAAAGACACTGTATCACCAAGGCAATACCATGCAAAAAGAAAAAGTAGGAAGCACCTCACTACCTAACCTCAAAATATATTAAAATGGTGATAATCAAAACAGCATGGTACTGGCATAAAAACTGATGCACAAACAATGGAACAGAATAGAGAATCCAGAAGTAAACCCCAAATAATTCAGACAACTGATCAATTATTTGACAATGGGTACAAGACAACAGAGTGGCAAAAGAAAGGGTGCTGGGAGAATTGGATATCCAGCTGCAGGAAAATGAAACTGCATCCTCTCACCGTTAACAAAAATCAACTCAAAATGGATCAAAGATCTAAAAGTAAAGACTCAAACTATACAACTTCTGGTAGAAAACTTAGGGAAAACTCTTAATTGAAGCTGGCAAAGATTTCTTAAATAAGACCCCTAGAGTAAAGACTATAATCCCAAAAATAAACGAACAGGATTACATCAAGCTAATAAGCTTCTGCATAGCAAAGCAAAACAACAATCAGAGTGAAGAGACACCCCCTCAGAATGGGGTAAAATAGTTGCAAACTGTACCTCAGACAAGGGATTGATAACCAGAATATACAGGGAACTCAAGCAGCTCACTCATTTAAAAAACTAACAATCCAATTAAAAAATAGGCAAATAAACTGAACAGAAAACTGTCCAACAAAGACATATGAATAACTAAAATGCATATGAAAAAATGTTCAACCATATCACAAGGATATCCTAAGGGAAATGCAAATTGAAACTACATCAAGATATCATTTAGCCCATGCAGAATGACTATGATTAAAAAAGAAAGAAAGAAAGAAAGAAAAGAAAAGAAGAACAAGTGCTGACAAGGATGGTGTAATGCCCTCTTACACTATTGATGGGAATGTAAACTACTAAAACCACTGTGGAACACAATACGGAGATTCAAAAACAAACAAACAAACAAACAAAAACAAAAAAAAACAAAACCCACTACGAATAGAATGACCATACAACTCAGTAATAAAGGACAGGAAAACACTCAGTAGGAAAGACACTTGCACATATATGTTCATTGCAGCTTCATTCACCATTGCTAAGACCTGGAATCAAAGTGCCCAGAAACTGATGACCGGATTGAAAAAAGTATGGGAAGTATGGCACAAATATACTATAAAATACTTTTCAGCCATAAGGAACAATGAGACCCTATCCTTTGATTTAAAGTAGTTGAATATAGAAGACTTAATGCTACATGAAGTAAGCTTTCTATATGTCTGAAGGACATACACTGTATATCCCCACTCAATGTCTGCACTCTATGGCAGAAATTGAAAGACCTAAAGGTGTAATAGTAGGAAGGGTAAGTGTAAGTACCAGTGACTATTAGGGAAGGCAGTGGATGATAGAGGGTAAATGGGAGGGGCAAAGGGAGGGAATACTTAACAGAAAAAATAACATAAAGTTCTCTGTTGAAAGTGATGTATGTGGTAACATTCTTCATTTGATCGTCACGTATTACATTCACGTGTTGAACCATGTTGTGCTCTATAAAGATCTATAATGATGGAATGCACATAAAAATTTTTGTAAAGATATTTGCAGATGGGGAGCCTGAGACCCTGGGAGGAAAAACGTTTAACACCACATAGCTAATAGAAGACTAAGCTGGACTTTGAACCCAGGCCACATAGCCTCAGGGACACACACTGTACCAATTTATTATACTGTGCTTCCTCTCAGAAATAATCAGGAGTGCTGGCACTAAAAGCTCAGACATTGGAGAAGTTATGCTCACTTTAAAATATCAGCATTCCACACTAGAAAATCCCAGAAGCCTCCCGAGGGAGAAAGTCGCTATGTGTCATATACATCTCACACTTGCAGCTGAGAGGCCATGACACTCGACTTCCACCTGTCGGATTCCACATTGCTTTCGTCTTTCTTTTTCATTTTTATTTTTCCCTGTTGTTTGAAATTGCAGAAGGTCCTGAAAAACCCTCTGATCCAGCCTCCCTCCCCCTTTTTTTTCACATATGGAGAAACTGAGGCTAGAAAGATCAAGGAATGCTTACACACAGGTGAAGAAGGTTGCAGATGAGGAAGGTCACCCAAAGGGTCACCCTTAGGTCCAGAGACTTCCACAGGGTTGCTTGAGGTTCTAGCTAGACAGGGACCCAGGTGTCCCGACTTGGAGATCTTCCTCTCTTTCCTTTTCCCTCTCGTTTTCCTTCTCTCTCCTTCTTCCTTTCTCCCTCCTTTTCTCTCTCTCCCCTCTCTTTCCTCTCCCTCTTTCTCTCCACTCACTCCCATCTCCCTCTTACTCCCTCTGCCTCTCTCTCCTTCCCTTCCTCTTTTTCCCTCTCCCTCTT